CAACACCATGAAGTATTTAAATGGTCCACATGTTGGTTGGATAGGTCATAAATATCCCCTTGAATCCTCTGAAGAAACTTAGAGGGGTCGTGAATAATCTTTGTAATTAAGGGTTGAATGTTCAACTTCCCCAGGAGCATGCTTTGCAAAACGGATGGCCGGGATAAGATTTCAAGTGATGCCCATGATATACTTCAAGGATACGACGAATCATATCTTTTCTGGGGTGTCCTATTTGGTCATGCCAAAGTAGTAGAGGGTCTTGGAACCCAGCCATAGGGTCAGCCACACAGTGTGTCTTGAGTGCTCAAATGGTCGTTATGTATAACCCACTCGGGAAACGTTCCAGCTTCTCGTGAATACGCTTCCAACTATATTCGTAAGAAGTGATACAAAGAAATTTAGAACCATTATCTTCAGTGGTTTCACCATGATATTGATTATCTCGAATATCTGTAAAACTAAGCAATGTTCTTCCGGAACGTGGAGAATAGAGTGTCTCTTTAATGGTTAATTCAATACCATTGGACAACATAATACAGGCCTTTCTGTATCCTTCTATAAGGTTGGATGGGCCTGAGAGGGTTGTCAGAGATGCATTCTTAGGAAGGAAGTTAGTAAAATAGTGTTTCAAACGCAATATGGTGTGCGTGGTTGCACTATCAACCAAATAACTAACTTCCCCACTAGTTATACCTAGAAATAAATTAATTGAATCGGTCACATGCATAAATATAATTCCATTCATTCAATTAATCAATTCGAGAAATAATATCCATAAAATATTTACCATTGTTCAAAACAAACCAAAACCAACAAATAATTCTAAAGACTTAGAAAAATTGTCCAAAAATTAAACCATAAACCTAAAATTTAGGGGAGGGTTCAGCCATTCCTAGTGGGTTCAACCACTAGGGGTATAAAACACCCTAACATGACTTAGAAAAAATAAAAAAAATTATTTTTCATAGGAGTGGATGCCTCCTTAAAATCTGAAACCTCCAGAGTTGTAGTAACATATTTGGGATGTTCCAAATGCACAAAGTTAGTCTCACGATAAGAATGATACTTGGCAATAGCCTTGGGGGTAGCTCAACATATGTGTGACCAATGATCCTTTGATCCAAAACGGTAGCACATGTCCATTTCAATGGAATCCGATTAAATGATAGCTTTTCCCTTATTCTTGAAGTTTAGGGCCTTTAGGGCAAGGGGTTGGTGCTTCTAGGTCAAATTTTCTCCCTTGGATGGCTTCTGTTCGACAGACCTTGGGCTTGTGGTGGGCCTTGATGCCCATTACCACCACCACGACAAGGTTCCCATAGGTTATGGCTGCTAGAATTGGTCGCATGCGCTTCAAGCGGAACGTTCGAGCCAGTAGGTCGAAATTGATGATTCTTCATCAAAAGCTGGTTCTGCTTTTCAATGAAAAGTAGAATAAATATCAAATCCAAAAATTTGGTGAGCTTATGTGCCCTATATTGTTGTTGTAAGACAACATTGGTGGCATTGAAGGTCGAATATGTATTCTCTAGGAGATCCTATTCAGTTAAGTCCTCTTTACATAACTTAAGCAGTGATCGGATTCTACAAACTTCAGAGTTGTATTCATTCACAGACTTAAAGTCTTGGAAGCGTAAATGTTGCCAGTCGTGTCTTGTTTCAGGCAAGTAAATGTCTTTCTGGTGATTGAAACGATCCACTAGAGCAAGCCAGAGGGGACGTGGATCCTTCTCTGGAATGTACTCAGTTGGCAGTGCATCATGGATGTATCTTTGGATGAAGATCATAGCAGTAGCTTTCTGAGCTTCATCGACAGGTTCATCGTCAATTGGTTACTCGATAGTAGCTTTAAGGCTCTTTGCAGTAAGATGGAGCTTCACGTCTTGAACCCATTTTAGGTAGTTTCTTCCAGAGACTTCCAAAGTGGTGAAATCGAGCATGTTCAAGTTTGACATGTCCCTAAACAAAGGGTACAACAAAACATGGTTAGTCATATGGAAAACCATAGACATACATTGTAGAACATTCGGGGTTCTATAGACATGTATTAGTTTAATTTAATCATGAAAGCTATAGAGTTTCATGTGGTAAGTTTTGAATAAATACTTCGGGTTTCAAAGGCACTAAATTTGAAATGATAGGTTCGATTTAGTTATGAACATTTAGTTCATATAAGGGTACCTGCAAGAACACATCATACAATCTACAATAAAGTGTAGTGAATTTGTGGATTGCTTCAGGAACCCAAGTGTAAGTGCATCGGGATTACGAAAGATAGTCAACAATTTCAAAGAAATGAAATAATTTATTAAATCGTTAATGCTAAAAAGTGGACTTCAGGCAAATAATTTTGGATTAATTGTCATACTAATGGATTGCTGGTCACTTTAATTAATTCAATAGATTGGACCATACAGGGTCGATTATAGAAGCAAAAATAATTATAACATTCGGGTTTAAATTATAAAGAATGCCAAAAATAGCATTGGAATTGAAAAACCATAGCCCAATAGCATTGGGCTTGCGTGTCGTGAGTAGGGCAAAGCCCTGAAGGGCATATTGGGCTTATATGGTTGTAAAAGAAGCCTAATACATGGCTGCAGGCCACGGGCAGGGCTGGCCCAGGCCCAGTGCAGGCAGGAAGACTGTCTGGGCCCCAAAATAATTGGGGCACCAAAATTATTAGGGTGATATATTTATACATGTTTTAATAAAAGTATAAATTTATAAAATTTGGTTCAATGACAAAGAAATTTAACTAGAATTGGTGGTTTTGTTGTTTAAAATTAATGAGGAGGTCTTGGGTTCAAAACACCATGTGTGCTTATTTACTTTTCAATTTTTACAAATTTCTTTTCATAAGAGTATAAATATATAAAATTTGGCTAAATGACCAAGAAGTTTAATTAGAATCAATGATTTTTGTTGTTTAAAATTAACGAGAGGTCCTAAGTTCGAAATGCTAAGTGCGTGTTTATTCTTTCCAATTTTTACAAATTTTTGTTTTGTTTTGTTCCAATTCAAGTCTAATCTTCAACAAAAAGTAATGCGTTGACCAAATTTTTAGACCAAATTTACAAATCATATGACGTATCATCAAAAAGTTTAATTTAATACCCATTTATTACTTATACATATCAATTAAAGACTAAAAAACGTCATTATTTTTTTAGTCCCATATTGACAAGGTTAGTAAATAAGAAAAAACACTCACAATTCATACAAAAACACTTTAAAAGTTCAAATGGAAAACAAAACTCATATCTTTCTACTTGTAAACCTGGAGTTTTTTTGTTTCCTTCTAATGATACAAAATAAATTAGTTTTTCCGTGTTTCTAAATTATTAAGTTTGAAGTGCTTTTATAAGTATAACTTTATCGATGTCTTACGTGTGAAAACAAATAATTTTCTTATATAAAATGATGGCACATTTTGTGGCGTCGCCCCAAGCCTAAAAAATCTCTAGACCGACCCTGGTCACAAGCCAAGAGATGGGAGGCCCACTAGCAAAGTTGCTGGCAATATAGGCCGAAACCAGTGCATATAGCAAGCTCAGTAAAAGGTTGGCTTGCGGGTGATGCAAGGAAGCCCCAACCGAAACTGGGTTTCGAGTCAACAGGCCGCAGAGACAAGCCCAGCAAGCCAAAGGCTTGTGGCATATGGGCCGATGCAAGGCAAAAGCCTAGCAGAAGGCAACAGGTCGTGCTGGCGTGGACTTAAGTTGGACCAGGGGCTTCAGGCCCATGTGGTAGTTAACCCAGGTCGAAGCCTGGTTTGGTTCGAAAGGCGGCAAGCCTAAAAAGGCTGCGCACATGGTCCAAGGTGTCAAAATGATACCGTTCCCCATGTGATTGGTCTACAGGCCAGCACGGTGGTTCGACTATGGTGCCATTGTGGTGCAGCAGCAGTGCTGCAAAAAAATCCCAGTTTTTTTTTTTTTTTTTTTTTTTCGAATTCTAGGGTTAAAAACCCTAATTGCTTCTAAATTAATTTTGATGCTTTGACTCACAAATTCCACATAGCATAATTGTGTATTGCATGAACAAGTATATATATTGACAAAATATATGAACATATATACAATATATATATATATATATATATATAATTGAAAGGAAAATATAAATATAGAGGGTTCATGCATCATGGGGAATGTTTTCATGCTTCAAGGTTTTTTCAAATATCTTAATTTATTTTAGAAGAACCTGATTGGTAAAAAAATAATTGAAAGCCTTAGATTTTGTAGAAAAGAGCCTCCTCCTTCAGTTCCTTAGCTTCAGGCAAGAGCGTGCTGATAACGTGTTGTAGGCTTATTTGACTGAATTGTATAAAGGACAGATAGGGAGAGGGGCCGGCGACAACAGAGAAAGAAGAGAGACATGTAATTCTGAGGTGTGTGTTGTATCACCCCCTTATGCCTTTATTTATAGTAGTAGGATAGGAAGAATCCTTACCCTAGTAGGACTACATCTCTAATAGAAATTAAACTACTAAAGGGAATATACAAGATACTCCTAGATACACTAGGATTAACAAAATCACATTCCTAATCCAATAGGACTGCAACATTATAATCCTTATTTCTCTCTTTAAGACTCTACGTATCCCACCAAAGTATTATGTAAAACTCTCGGATACATACAAATAGGCACTTACGTAAGACTCTAATCGTTTAGTTTCGACTCTATTTGTTTGATTGATGATTAATTTGATTGCTTGGTCAATTGCTTGATTGTTGATTAATTTGAAGTTGAAGAATGCTTGCTTGGGTGAGTAATATGATTGCTTGGTTAAACGTGTTTGTGATGCTGGTTAAACTTGTTTGTGACTTGTGTACTTTTGATTGACAATGGATATTTATTTTACAAAGTATTATTATACTTAATATATATTAAAAAAATTTAGGTCTATTCATGAAATGTCTTGCCTACGCCTTCGCCTTTTAAAACATTGAAGCTCGTACATCCTTCGTCTCATTCCTAGAGGTGTAGAGAAATTGGAGACCATCCGTTTGGGTGGCAAAGAAGAACCAATTGGAGGCCATCATAAATTGTGTTTGTTACTTTGTCAAATTTGAAATTCCATGCCTAAAATCTCTAATATTTCCCTTCAGCATCGTCATTTACAATTCCATGATCAAAGCACGTTCCTAATCTGAAAGCCCATTTGTTGCTTTGTCGATTTATAACACGATGGGGGTGCAAGAAAATGCCTGGGCGACAAGTTTACTTACCCTTTTGTGTTGAAGGCTTGCGCAAGTGAATCAGCTATAGACAAAGGGAGGGAGGTTCATGGTGTGGTTGTGAGAGTTGGGTTTATGGTGTAGTTATGAGAGTTGGGTTTGATTTCAATAGGTTTTTGTGTAGTTCTTCGCTGAACTTGGTTTGTCAAAAAATTGAGAGTGTAAGGCAGGTGTTTGATGGATTCACAGTGAAGGATGTTGTTTTCTGGAATACTATGAAAATGGGTTATGCTCGAAACGGGATGGGTTTTGAAGCATCTGATGGTTTTAGGGAGATGGTGGAAGTGGGAGAGGTTAGACTGAATGAAGGTGCAACTTTGGCATTGATATCGACTTGCATATATAGTATCAGAAAACTTGAAATTTGGGAGAGAGATTCATGAGTTTTTAGGATATATGTGAGTTTTGGGTTGAGTGTGAAAGGGGGAGCTGCATTGGTTGATTTGTATGCAAATTTGGCTGTTTGGACTATTATGCATAGAGTGTTTGAGGGAAAGCCTAAGAAGAATGCTGTGGTGTGGAACACTTTGATAAGTGGCTTTTCCTTTAACGGGCTTTCAAATGAAGCAATTGATCTTTTCAGGGAAATGTGTTGTTTGCATGCAAAGCCCTATAATTTCATGATTTTAGGCTTGTTGTCTGCTTGTGCTCAAATGGGTGCTGTTAATATAGGAAATTTGGGTTCGAATAGTCTGGGATATGTTTATTGGTACATCTTTGGTAGACCTGTATGCAAAATGTGGTTCTATTGAAGCAACAAGAGAAGTGTTTGATCAAAAGGATAAGAAAACTGTTGCGACATGGAACGCTATTCTTTCTGGATAGGCATCATATGGGCAGGCTGGATCTGCAATGAAGCTTTCTGTTGAGATGAGAAAATCAAGTGCCATCGTAGATACATAACCTTCCTTTCAATTTTACATGCTTGTGCACATGCTGGTTTGGTTGGGAAAGGTAAGCAATACTTTGATTTGATGGTGCAAAATTATAAGATAGCTCCTAAAGTTGAGCACCATGGCTGTATGGTTGATCTTCTTAGGCGCGCTGGATTTCTAAAGAAGCAAAGATGCTTATTGAGAGGATGGATAGTGAACCAAATGTAATTGTATGGGGATCACTGTTTAATGCTTGTAGCATTCATGGATATTAGGGTAGAGTGGGCGGCTGACCATATATTTGACTTAGAAGCAATAGGCAGGTGCTCCTACGTGCTGTTAGCAAATATGTATGCTGCAACACGAAGGTGTGATAGGGTAAAGCAATTAGAGAGGCAATGGTTAATGCGAGTATTTGTAAGCTACATGGATATAGCATAATCGAGATTGGAGATGTAGGTCATGAGTTTCTAGTTACTGACAAGGCACACCCTAAATCAGAAGAGATCTACTGGGTGTTGGATGTATTAAGCAACAAGCTCAAGATGGCAGGCTCGATGCGATTGTCTGCTCTAGATGAAGGGTATCTGGAAAGCAGCCGAGCGACAATGAACTCCTAGAGAGATTTTCTAAAAATGGGAAGATCAGAAAAGGAGGGAAAGTGATCGGAGCAGTTTCCTTTCTAGGGGCATTTGGATTTGTATGGAACATTCCAGATTCCGGAGATGGACACATGATCTCAAAGAGTATTTGGAGATTCATTTCAAGGTTCAATTCTTTCCTTTATTCATGGACATGTTTTGTGAATATCTGTCACTTCATTTTTGTTTTCCTTCTTATGTCTTAATTATTAAACTCATGCAGATGGCCTTCTAATCCTTCATGGAACATGGTGTTATTACAGAACAATTTTATTGTCATTGACATTTCGTTTAAGGTATAAAGTTATATCTCAAATATATCCATGGTTTCTGTCATTTATACTGTCAGATCGTTTACTGTAGTTCTCATTATATGTTTTGGATTAGCATTTCTAACATTTTTGTACTTGTTCATGTTGGCAACAGTGTTGCTGCCGAGGTCAGCATTGTGATTAATGAAAAACTTGAGAAGGACAGGTAACTAAAAGTCCATATATTTAGGCCAATTTAAGAAACTAATTAGGTGTACTGATTAGTTTCTGAGTTTTCTGTTTGTTTTGTTTATAAGTGTACTAGTTGGGTTTATTTTGCATTCTTCAATGGCCTGATAATGTTTTTCCAGATCACTATCCAAAAGCTCGAAAGAGGTGTGTGGACTGGAAACGAAAGGAGTAAAACCGTGGTTGATACTGGGTTCTAAATTATCTATATGGTTGATGATGAATTGAGAACTCAGAAGCAACCATTCCAATTGTTGTATCTATCAGGGATCATATGCAACCATTTAAATTGGAATTATGGTTTTGAATTGTGGGAATCACAAGTTGAGGGACCAGATGTGGCAGGCTGGCAGCTCTGTTATACTTCATGGGTGGTGCAATCTTTCCTCATAATCCCATTACAGTGATTCTACGACTTGCAGTGTTTTACTCTCTTATTCCCATATTTGTTTTAAGGAGGGAGGGGTCGACTCTTCGGAGTCTCCCTTGGGTGTCCTCCGCTTCGACAGATTAACCTGCCAAAGATCGCACCTATCACAGGATATTACGGAGTTTGGTCCGTACCCCGTTAGCACTAATGTCTGCCTAGCATAGATTGCAACCTCGCTTCCCGGCTGCCTACATGGGTCTCTCTTATAAATAGTCAAGTTAAATAAGAAGATCAGTTATCACTATTTTCCTACTGAAACTCCCTCTTATTCGGTTTCTCTCAAACTATTTTTTACTTAGGCATCGAAGGTCCTTTGGCAAACACCCTTCCCTTTTGGCGAAAATTTGCATTCACAAAACCAGTTATGTGTATCTTGCATGAAGCAGTTGTTTTATGATTCACTTGCATTTTTACTAAGAATTGATTCTAAAAGCACTTTTACGAAAAACGTTTTCAATCATTTTAAAAACATTTTCTTACAAAATTTATGGAACATCTGCTGTATATTTTAGCTATGTAACCCCTGTGAAACCTTGGAGATGATTCTAACACACAAAAAGACAGAGAGGGGAAGGAAGAGACACGGTCGACGAGTAAGGGATTTTATCTATTTATTCTTTTATGTAAATGATTGAGGCATTGTGTGTCACATTCGTCGGCAAACTATATCAAGAAAAATATAAAAGAAAATCCGTAGACACTTGTACAAGAATATCGAATCATGCCTGCAAACGTGCTCTTAAATTTATAAGTTAAATAAAAAAACAAAGCAATCTTAAATTTATAAGTTAGATAAAAAATAAAAATAAATAAAATCAAATCAAATAAACCAAGGCAACACCTGCTGCTTTTCAAGGTTCTGACTTAATTACCCTTTCTTTCATTTTCTTTTACCTTGACATGATTAACGTATCTAATCCCTTGGACATTTCAACCAGAATATCAAGGGCATCTGAGAATGCATGATTGTGGTGGTTTGACCATAAAATAATATGCCAAATAATTTAAATGCCTTAAAAGATAATCTATGTCGACATAAAGGCATGAACATTTGACCTAATACGTCTGTCTTTTTCATTATATGCAAATTCTCTTCGTCATTGTTACAAATTCAGTTGACTTTTCTGTACAATTTACGACATGAGATGCTTAGATGCCCAAACCACTTCAAAGCATACGTGGGATCTATGGAGACGATGTAGATGCTTATAGTTTTTTTTTTTTTTTTTTTTAACAAATGATATTATCTATACTAAATAGTTGGGAGAGTAGGCTAATCCTCACAATGGGCTAGTAATAATGTGGTTCAAATTCGCATTTGACGAGAATCGAACATAAAACCTCTCGCTTACAAGCAAAGTTCTAAAAAATGCTAGTTGGGCGGTGGGATAGCGCCTAACGCCTAGGCAGATTTAGGTAAATTTCTTGTAAATAAATGCATATTGACACTTACAAAAAATTATGCTTGTATGAAATCCATGGATAATATAATAAAAGAATGATAAAATGCAAAAAGAGTATCCAACAAGTCCAAAATTTAAAAACACATTAAGCATATATGTCATATAACCATAGTGAGGAGTATTATAGGATGACACATGTACAACAAGTTCACAATTTACAACAACATAAAATGGAAAATAGGAGGAAAATAAGGAAATTTAGTAATGTAAGATACTTATCTTTAGAATCCCGGAATTTAAGTTGATACACAACACACCTATTCTATAAAATTAACAAAATTTCAAGGTATAATTAGAATTTAAACTTTAAACAAATGTCAAAAAAAGAAAAAAAAAAACCACCCAGCCGCCTAGCACCATCTAGCCCGCCTAGAGCCACCCCGATTTTTCCAGCCGTTTTGCACAAAATCGCATCGGTTCCAAGGCACCTAGCGCCTAAGGCGTTTTTTAGAACACTGCTTACAAGTGAAGAGAAATACCAGTAGACCGTAGTCTAATTGACGTACTTATAGTTTATTTGTAATCTTTCAGTCATTTCTTTAGTGGCTTATGCCCTAAGAGATCAAAAAGTATAATTCATTGCTTCTTTAGGGGGAAATCTTAACGCCCAAGCTATTGCCCCCTTAACCTCCACCACATTACACACTAGTAGAAAAAGGGGAGAGGCCAAACATATTTTTGCCACGGTAGGACTTCTAGAAAACTTAAAGCTACTTTTTTATTTTAGTTTTTAAAATTTGGGTTTTAATATTCACTTTTTTTATTAAAAAATAAAAATAGTTACCATACAATTTTTTATTTTTTATTTTCAAAACATGGAACTTAAAATTAAAAATAAAGTGATTAACAAACGACGTCTTAGTATTTATAATAATTATTTATTAGGACAAATGAGATCAGGATTTTATTATACAAATGAGATCAGGACAAATGAGATTAGTATTTATAATAATTAGGTCTTAAATTAAATTCGATAAGGATCCATTTGATCCAAATCCAATGCTAATCGGATATGGATTGACAAATCAGATTCAATGATCTGAATAAGAACGAAATTCATTAATCCAATTATAAATGAATTCAAATATAGATAAGGGCTCGATTAGATTCAGATAAACAATGTTGACATCGTTTATTTGGCTCTCTTTTCTTCTTTATAATTTTTTTTTTTTGAACAAACGGTATTATCTACTGAGAAGGGGATGAGCTTAGCCTCACAATGACTAATAATAATGTGGTTCAAGTTTCACATTTTGTGAGAATCGAAACTAAATCTCTCACTTACAAATAAATAAATAAATATCACTAAACCGTTGTACTAAGTGATCTTTTCTTCTTTATGATTCATGAAACCTCAATAATCCAAGACAGGATGGAGCTAACAATTGCCACAGTCATTCAAAGCCCGACTGATGGATTCAATCACACACTCTTCATAGGTGTTTATTTGACTCCTAATAACTTTTTCGAGACCTTAGATTTGCTTGATATAAACCTGTCGGTTAATATTTACCTCTCATCCACAGATTTCATACAGAAAGGGATTAGGGATTCCATTTCAACATGTATTACCACTTAGCCCTATGGCTTATGGGTTGACGATGTTTGATAGGAGTATATTTATGTGACTTTGTTTTCTTATTTCTTTGTATTTACTTAGTTAATTTCTATTTATTATAGTAATTTAAGTTATTTTCGTATTATTATAGGTCAGTTGGTATGAGACAATAATAGTCAAATCGAGCATTGGCGTTATTTTGGACTTGGATATGGCGAGTGGTTTAGCAAAGTGGATGAGTTGCCTGTACGTTTGGTGTTTAAAAGGTGTTAAAAACGTGCTAAAAATCTGGAGAAATTAAAGTTGAGGCTTGAAGACAAGGAATTACAGAAAGAGGAATCCTGGTTGGAGAGAAGTTTAGTGACTTGTTTTGAAGTCCAAATAAAGAATCAAAGATGAATCTTGCTTGTTAGAAGACCAGGAACATAATGGGAAAGGAATTGGAATATCTAGCCTGATTTGGAGGTACCAAATAAGGCAAAAATGTGCAAAATAAAGGCTAAGTTGCTGGGATCACTTTGGAATATCTTGCACCCTCTTTTACCCCATAAAAACTTACCTTTTAGGTACTTTTACTTGCCCTTTTTATTCTGGACGAATTATACAATTTTGATTCCTATTTTTCCTTTCTTTTCATTCACTCTAAAGAAAACCCTAGTCGTGCCCTATATATATATGAAGTGTTCTGCAACATTGAAAGGGGTGCCGTGCCGACCATTCATCCATTAAAGTCGCTGAAATTTTTAGAGTTCTTTCTCTCTTTGTTTTAAGTTTCAATGTTTATTTTAGATTGTTTTTCAATTATGATGAACATGTGTAACTAAGTTTCTTTTTAGCTAGAGGCGAATTCGAAGCCATGATCATATGTTTTATATAAATTGATTACATTCAATTATTATTTCATAAAACATGAATGTGATTTACTTATCTACTTTATAGAAAACTTATTCTTGTATGTTTATTAAGGATGCATACTTAGTTTTCATGCAGGGATTTGATGCTAGAATATAAGGGAATTTCACCTAATCATTATGAACTTATATTGGTAAGTAGTAAAAGTCACTAGTCATGATTGAGTTAAGTAAATCCTTGGCAGGAGTATCATGTTTTTCATAGTTACAAATGCTTTGCCAATGCTTATGATTTTCACAAAACTTAATGATCTTCGAGATGTATCTATATCATGCTTTTCATAGTTAGGGAACTTGAGAAGAATAATTTGGTTGCGTCGCTGAGTCCAATTCAATGAACTTAGGAAAATCTGAGAGTTAATTAGTGTTGTACACAGCTAATTTGGGGTATTGTCATTCATGGTTTATAGGAAGAATAACTAGAAATCAATTTGTATGCATATGATTCATTTGTGGAGAAGAATCCTTTAGCTATCATTTCATTCATAACTTAATTTACTTGCTGCCATTTACTTTTGTTTTTATTAAATTCGTCCAAAATCCGCCCAATCATTGTTTTGTTGTTAGTTTAACTTAGTTTTTAGTTTTATAAGTTTAATTTGTGTTGATTAGCATCCCTTCTAATCCCCGGAATAGAACGATCCTTACTTACTCGTACTACGATTGCATAATTTATAGGGTTTGACTTGTGTGTTAGTTTTTACCACTATATAGAAACTCAAGAATACTGAGAGAATTTGTCGTACTGAATATTCCTCTTCATTTCATTACACACTTTAATTACAATGTATCTTTGGTATACATAGCTTTGTACCAATCATGACAATTACAGAAATATCCTTAACAAATTAACTAATTACAAGATCAATCTAACAAACTAATTTTAACAGTTACATAATCAAACTAACTAACTTTTGTCTCTTTAGGTTCCTCTAAAACCGCCTACTATACTTAATAGAGAGATACATCAAATCACTATTAAAACAAATTATTCTCCTACCATAATAAGTCTCATCAAATAGATATTATATAATTGGTTAATCAAAGTTAAGACTTTGTTATTCTATTCACATTGAGTCGCAATATCACTTGAATATTGAGTTACTTAAATAATAAGTTGCTTGAGAATCAAGTGGCTTAATTGACAAGTCATCATTACTCACAACAATTCTTACAACATATTCCATTTGCATTCTAGAATCCCATTGGATCTAAGATATAATTTTTAGTCTACAATATATTCTATAAAGATTGGACTGTTCGCTTAATAAAATGATACGTGAGCTGAGTTCAGAATGTTGATAGTTGATTTTGAAGTTCATTATCAGACTAACAACTATCAACCAGCCACATGGACAACTTAGCGAACCCTTTGCAACTGAGTGATAGCATGCATTACAAATAGGACATCTTTAGAGCAGTTCCATCGTGGTGTTTAGCCCGGTGGATTGGTGATGGAACAGGGCTAGATAGCCCGCCCGACTTGCCCTAGCGTGTGCCAGCCCGAGGGAGAGGCCTGGCACGAGTTACCAGCCCGATAGCCCAAAGGCAAACTAACGTCGCCCAGACGTCAGCCATTTTTTTTATTTTTTTCTGTCAGGCGCCTGGGCTTCAAGCGTGCGTTGGTGCACGTCGTCCAATATGATTTCAGAAGCGGGGCCCATAGCGCAGTCTGAAAATGTTACCATTGGGAAGCCACGTGGCTTCCCCTCGTCTGTTGGATTTCAATAGCAACAATTTGTGGACCGTTGGATTTCCAACGGTAATAAAAATTTAAAAACCTTATTTTATTTCAACCGTTGGATATGAGATCAACGGTCTACGCTATTCACCTTTATAAATTAAAAAAAAAAAACAGTTTAAAATTC